AAATGGTAACTGCCAAAGATATTAATGGTTAATTAATTAAAATATTAATACGGAATTAAATACATAATTAAGTCGCACATTAATTGCTCCAGCCGTTACTGTTCCTAGCTGGCAGGCCGGACGCTTGAGCTCCCTCCTGCTGGACTGGACGGCAGGCCCCCCACTGGGCTGGAGGTAGGCTCCAGGTTGTGGACTTTGATACACGGGTCCAAGTTCGGGGCTTGGGCTGATTAGGCTCTAGGCCTAGTCCCATTACTCCATCACGAGTCCCCCACTCCCTTAGTCGAGTCGTAGACTCGGCTAAGAGGGAGTAGTCCAAGTCAGTTGCTCTTCTCTGAGACTAGAATATCCCCGCCCTTGTCCGTATTGGGAAGATGGCTCATTAAAAACCTTCATTAGGAAAAAACTCAATGGAAAAAATCCTAATGAAGGGAAAAAGAGTACATCTGACGCCCCCAAGATGAAGTAAGAGGTGAGATCCTCAGCCTTTATTGCAATGGTCGCCATCTGCGAATAGGATGGCAAGAACTGTTCTTCTCGTTGGGCTCAGACTCGTCAGGTTCGTCATTTGCTTCCTTGAAGACGGTAAGACCCTCAGTCCCCCACTTCATTCAGTTGTACCTACACGTAAAAGAAACTAGTGTAGAATAGAGCATGTGGCCTGGTGTCGACGAACCACGACTCAGTATGTAAGCGAGTCAAACTCACTACTTGAAAAGAGTGACATCAAGTTCCCAAGTTAGGTCTCAACTCAGTCTCCGAAAGAAATATTGAATCCACGAGTAAGTGAGGCGGGCTCCTCACTCGAACGGATAATCCAACCCCAAAGAACTAAAGTATATCAACCTTTTCGAGAAATGTGAACATCAATTAAGTGACAAAATTACTCAGAAAAGCGTGGCTCTAGGCCCCTAACAAGAGTTTAACTCGCCGCCCGAGGTTAGTAGTTCGAACCCACAAGTAAAGACTTTTGAACAGGTTACTCGTCCCCCGAGGTCGGGGTGTGATGCACTAGGAAGAGGTAAGAGCACGCAAGAACCCGTAAGAAGTCAAGAGTGTGAGGTTTTAACATTTAGATTGGAGCTTATTAATCGTCACACCCATATGACGTGACCCGGTGGCACGAGTGTGTGTGCTCGGCCATTGTACGAGTGTGTGTGCTCGTCCGGCGTACTTGAGTGATCAGATGTCATAAGTCCGTTGTTCAATGTTAGAATTACACACATTTAACAAGAGTAAAAGCAATCATATCACTTAAAAATATCTTTTCAAATGTTTCAATTTATGTTTTTTTTGCAAATATTTAATATTTAATTATATAGAAGAGATTCCAAGAGTGCTTATCTTTCAAACAAGGGCTCGGCCAGTCGGGTATCTGAGAAATCAAATTTGTACTCTCTATGCCAATTTTGACCTGGTCAAATTTCCCTAATAATCTTGTACTGGTTGTCTCCAAGAACCCTTCCTTCTTTCTCCATCACTTTCCCACTTTGTTGTACTGGTTGTCGCAAGAGAGAGCCTTCCGCTTTATTTGATGCTTTTGACCTTTTGGATATGGCAACCACTGGGTTGGCCCTCGATCAGTATAGCGCGATAGGAAGGGAGAGGTGCCCTTGGATTCCGCTGTTGCCCTTTGTCATCGGAGAAAATCGCCGGTCGATTTGACCAAAAGACTCGGGCAGCGAGTCTTCTGCTTTGACGTCCTCTGCCATGGCCGGCTTACACAACGATGGCGTGAGAGAGCAAGGCAGCGGCGAGCGGATTAGACCCCCTCCTTGGTACATCGGTGAAGAACGGAGGCAGCTGAGGATCAGTGAGAAGCGGCGGGAGAGGTCTGGAGCGGAGATGGCGAGTTGCGGCCCTCCAGCGTCGGGCGAGATCGTGAATGGCGGTGGCGGCAGTTTGCAGATCTCTAGCGCCGGTTGCAGATCTCCGGCGCCAAGCAAGGCTTTGAGCCTGGGCGGCTGCAGTTCGCAGACCTCTAGCGCCGGTTGCAAGAATTGGGTACCAGTAGAGGCCTCTGCTGGCGGCGGTCCGGGCGGCAACCCCACAATTTGCTCTAGATCTGCAAAATTCCATATTTCTTTTTCTTCTGAATTTTGGGATTAATCTTTCCTCCCTTTTCCTGAACTTTCGTGGTTAATTCCTACTAAAAGTGATATGAGAGACAAAAGAGAGACTCTCAATGAAAGCACCAATGTTGGTCCAAAATAGGACGCTCTTAGGCTTTTAGGAAAGCTACGTACGACACTCAAACAAGAATCAAGAAAGTAACATGAATAAGGAAAGTCGCAAAGGGATTTTGGTAGCCAGAAATAGCATGTCGTTCATTTGAATCGGAATTGCCTTTTATAGGCGATTACAAATGGTAACTGCCAAAGATATTAATGGCTAATTAATTACAATATTAATACGGAATTAAATACATAATTAAGTCACACATTAATTGCTCCGACCGTTACTGTTCCTGGCTGGCAGGTCAGCCTGGCTGGCAGGCCGGGCGCTTGAGCTTCCTCCTGCCGAACTGGACGGCAGGGCCCCCACTGGGCTGGAGGTAGGCTCCAGGTTGTGGACTTTGATACACGGGTCCAATTTCGGGGCTTGGGCTGATTAGGCTTTGGGCCTAGTCCCATTACTCCATCACCTATAAATAGCACACTTTTTCTTCACGAATATCCATCCCTTCTTCTATACTCCTAAGCTCAGTTTAGAATAGCATTTCTTATATTTTTATAGCATGTTTAGTCTCCAAATGAGGAGCTAAACTTCCATTTCTTGGTTTTGCTCTTGAAGCTTGTTGATTATTAAAGTTGTGAGTTATTTTCTTAACTTCTCCTCTTGATTATTAATTCTTCCCTTAATCTCATTCTATATTAATGTTGGAGGGTTGCTAAGTGACGATTAGTTAACGTTCCGACATTAATTACTACTAGAGACCACCAACGACATAAACAGATCAAACCAAAATAGACTCAGACAGACCAGTCAGATTTAAACAGATCAGATTTCACTCAAAGTAAAAACACCATTTTTAGACACTTTTTGGAACATTTTAGACAAAACATTCATTCGGTATTTGAGTTGAACAGAATTGGTGCTCGATTGTATCCTTAGCGGCAAGTAGGGGTGTGCACCGGTTCAAAACTGGACCAGAACCGGTTTTGCCATGATATGGAAATTGAAAACCAGACCCGATGTATTCTGGTTTTTATCCTGAACCGAACCGGTTTATCCGGTTCAAAACCGGAACCAGACCGGAAAACCCGGATTCTAAATAAATAATTTTTTTCTTTACTAAAAATGCCACTAATCATTTGATAAAGATGGAGTACTTATTATTAAAAATATACTTTTATTATTATTGTTTTCTAAACTCATTCTAAATAATTTTAGTGAGCAAATATTGGAGTAACTTGAGACTAGAATAATTTATACTATTATTAGTTAGTTTTATTATTACGAGAATAAAAATGAATGGATAAATATAATATCAGGATAATATATATTATAATCATTATGAAACTGATTGCTATTATATATTGTTATTAGTATGGAGTAATATTTTTTTATTTTATAACTATTACGAAGTATTATACTCCCTCCTTCCCATAATTAACTTCAGTTTTGACTGGGCACAGGGATTAAGATAGTGGGATTTGTGTGGTGGAGAGTTGTGCAAAGGAGAGAGAAATGTGTAAGAATGGTTGTGAACCACATATTCTTTATCAAAAAGGGAAAGAGGAGATAATAAATTTAGGACGGACCGAAAAGGAAAGAATGAAGATAATTTCGGGACAGAGGGAGTATTACGTATTGACGTTTAGAGAGAGGAATTTTCTAGGGTTGCCGCAAGGCAATCTTTAGTGTTTGGATTTCTCTAGGGTTGCTGCAAGGCAATCTTTAGCCTCAGTGTGTCCGCTATCGGCTTAGCCGAGGAGCGGGGTTCGGTTTCGGCCGACCAATTTGTTATTATTGATCAGTCTGGTGGATGGACGAAGGTGGTCGGTCAGGGGGTTACAGAGATCATTGCAGGGCGAGATCTGTTGAGGAAGATTTGAGCAGCGGCGCTTCAGGAGGCGTTCGGCGGGTTTAACGAAGCAGCGAAGTGGGTGGATTGTCCTATGCAGCAGCAGTTCCGGAATTTTTAGTCGGCTTGGTAAGGCATAAAGATTTATGGAGAATATTTGTGATCAATACAAAAAGATGGTAATTGGTGCGAAAGAAGAAGAACTGGTGAGCTATGAGAAGGTGACAATTCCGATGATTGGCATGATAGATTCTCAGATGAATTTTCTGGATGTTAAAATTCTCTTATATCATCATACGACAACCACCTCCCTGCGAGGAAGTAATTTAGGGAAAGTTTTTATTTTCGTATTGTTTTTTCCTTGTCAGTTCTTGTTTTTATTTCAGTTCGACCGGATGTGGTCTGAGTATTTTGATTTTTGATGAACTCTTGATAAGCAGTGTTTCATTTTCGGTCGTTTTAGGTTTCTTCTTGCCCGTTTTGCGTCTAACGAGTCATGTTGCTTTGTATAGGTGACTTACTATAAGTCTATTCCTAGAGCTTACGACCAGATATGTAATATCTTTTTAGATTTGGTGTTGCGTGTTTGCTTTATTTTAAAGGAAAGCCGTTTTGATGATAAAAAACTATTATTATATTAGTATTAGTAAATACTCTTTCCGTTCTTTTTTAGTTGCAACATTCCATTTTTCACGTTTGACAACGCACAACTTTGACCATCATTTTATTTAATTATGTATTAGTAAAAAATAATTAAAAATCATATTATGAAACTTAATAATGAGATGAATTCAACAATATTTTTCGAAAAAAATAATTCACATTCATTAACAAATAAAATGTTGTCAAAGTAGAGTATATGAATAGTGTATAAATTGCAATGTTACAACTAATACGATAAGGAGGATAGGTAAATTTTTAAAAATATTGCATAACCCGAACCGAACCGGAAACCAGTTTCCTAAATTTTCATAACTGAAACCCTGACTAGATATCATACCTGTTCCTGTTTTTACCGTCCCCTCATGTACGGTTTTTCCTGTTTTCCTGCAAGAACTTCGATCAGTTACAAGACCCGACTGGCTATCTGCCGAAAGAACTTCGACCAGAGGGCAGAGGCGAACTGGCAGCAGTAATTGGTGCACGATTGTATCCCTCATCAGTGGAAACAACCAACTGGGGAAGTGCTCCAAGAAAAGTGAAGGAGAAATGCTGAGACTACGCAAGTGCAAGGTATGAACTTCAAAGCCCTAAATTCCTAAGTTCTACATTCCTAAATTGAATGCTTGTTAGTTTATCTGATATTGATTAATTTGTTAAATTTAAAACCATTAGTTCCTAAAGCTATTATGATAAATTTTTGAAATTCACTTTGATTGATTAACTTGTGCAACTGAAATTCCTAAATTCATAAAGATATTATGTTTGTGAGTTTATAATTTATCGGTTAGTGTATATATGCTGTATGTTTGTAACTTTTGCAATCAATTGATAGCATGGTATTAAAGATTTAAAGCTTTAAAGAGCTGAGTTTTTTCCCGCATATTATGTCTTATATATTGTGTTCATTACTGTTCTATATGCGGACAGCTTTTTCAAATTAATGGAATCACCTTTCTTTTGATAAATATACTTAGTGTGTTTTAATACTGCACTCCCCCAGCGAAAGTCCTGGACCAAACTATCAAAAGTTAAATACCTTCGGTATGATGTTCTTGCTGTAGTGTATGTTTGTGATTGTGGGGGTTTATGATTTTCTATGTGCTCACTGTATACAATTATATACATGTATCGTATCAGTGCATAATTGTGCTATTTGAGATCTCCATATCTGGTGATATTTTTCACGCTTTTCTCCAGTTTTCCATTTGAGATCTCCATAATTGTGCTATTTAATAAGCCGCATTCACAGATTTATGTTTTTCTGTTTCATTTTCTTCTTGACTCTTTTTCTTTTTGTTGCAGTTATATTATCCGTAAGTTAAATTTCAGTGGTAGAACAACAACATCCAAGCCTTAGTCCCAAAAGAGTAAATATCCGCAGTAAATGTTGAAAAAATTCCTTTGACCCGAAAGTTGTGCCTGTATGCTAATGTATTTCTAATTTGTTAGAAATGTATGCAAAAGTACTCACAGTGTCAATATGCAGTCCTATTCCGACAAAGTTACCACCTTCAGCAAATTTTGTTGCTCCTTGCAATCAATCAGAAAGTTTGGTTGGTTCTTCAGAACTGAAATATGGGTATCACAATTCATTCAGAAAAATACCTGGATTACAAAGGAGCTCACGAAATGGGTGTGGTCATGTGGTGGTAAATGTTACATGTGAAGCATCAAAAGGGGGAAATGGTAATGATGATCGGTTTTACATGAGGAGGTGTGTAGAGCTCGCTAGGAAAGCAGTTGGGTTCACAAGTCCTAATCCTATGGTTGGTTGTGTTATTGTTAAAGATGGAAGCATTGTGGGAGAAGGGTTTCACCCTAAAGCTGGTCAGCCTCATGCTGAGGTGATTGTAATTGTTCTTCTCTCTCCTCCTCCCTGCATGCCTCTTTGGATGTTATAAAATGTTTTGCTTACTTCCATTTGTATTTTTTATTTTTTTTCACAATGAAATTATTTTAATGGTTTTTAGCTGCAAATTTGAGTGTTCGAACTATTTTTTGTTTATTTAGAATACAGGCGTAGATCTGAACATTAACTTTATTTGGAAAAGTGATGATGTAGAAAACATGTCTTAAAATCAGGAGAAAAGAAGGCATGGTTATTCAACTTGTTTAAAGTTGTGATAGTATCTTGAAGTCTAAGAAAGCAGGCTCATCAAGGGAGTTGAGTTAAAAGAGTGGTTTGTTTTTAAGAAAATTCCTTAAATAGGACTATTGACAAATGCTCAAATAGGATCAATATTGTTTTCTTTATAGAATATGACTCATTCACTACTGATTGGGGAAGTTTTATACTCTTAATAGGATCAAATAAGTCCTATTTTGGAAATAAAGCATAAGTAGTGCTATTTGTGCACTTTGTCTATGCTTTAGTCCTATTTGGAGCAATTTCTTTTGTTTTTATTACTAAATTTCTGTTGCAGGGGGTTATCATAATTTAGAAAACAAAAAATACAGGTTTTTGCACTGAGAGATGCTGGGAGTATGGCAGAAGGTGCAACTGCATATGTGAGCTTAGAACCTTGTAACCACTATGGTAGGACTCCACCATGCACTGAAGCACTGATCAAGGCCAAAGTGAAGAAGGTGGTTGTTGGGATGGTGGACCCAAATCCTATTGTGGCTTCAAAAGGGTTGGGTAGACTAAGGGATGCGGGAATGGAAGTGACCGTAGGTGTTGAGGAACAACTTTGTCAGAAGCTTAATGAAGCCTTTATACATCGAATGTTGACAGGGAAGCCCTTTGTTACCCTAAGGTAGTGATTCACATTTGGCATTTGATTTGCTCTTTTTAATGCTTTTAATGTGCTTCTTTTACCCCAGCAAAAATACGGCCATTTGTTTCAAGTCCGTATAAAAATTTGTTTTGATGCTTGTAACTTATCTAGTTTCTTTTCAGTCCCTCCAGTCAACTTTGCAGGAAGTACTCTGGCCCGAGAGTTACATGATTAAGCCTTTTTTTAAATTGCATGTAATAACCAGAATGGAGTTTTATGAGTCACATCTATTCTTTAACCGAAGTTGACGGGGAGGAACTAAAAGGAAATGTAAAAAAATAAGTGGTTAGAAAATATTTTTTCACTTAAAAGTTAAAACTGTTTTTATTCCCTGCAAATGTTTTAGAAGACTGCAGTTTCTCTTTTTGTTTATCATTCATGCTATTTTTGCTTTTTCCCTTGTGACTATCTTCATTGAGATTTTTGTTTTAGTCCCTTTTTGTTTATCTTTCAGTTTATCTTCTTTTCCAACTTTTATAAACATTTGGAGTGGAGACTGATAGTGAGTTTTTTTTAGACTAATAGTGAGTTAATTAAAGTTATCTAGAGTAAAATATAAGTATTTAAAAAAATGATGTGATGATAAAGAATGACAGAAAACATTTTAGGTATGTACTTCGTATGTTTTATTCTCAAACAGAGGTTGCTAGAGAGTCAACAAGTGACTCAAAAGAAAACAACTTGAATTTTAAACATTAAAGATAAAAAACATTTTTAACGGTACCTAAAACAAAAACTATATTTGCAAGGTCGCAAGGGCACAATCATACACAAACCTTCCTTTTTACAGATATCTAAAACAGAATAAGAAACACTAGATTTGTTGATATGTAAAACATATTTAAGTTGCTTGTGCTACAGTAGGCAGAAGTCGTCGTCGTCATCATCATCATCATCATCATCATCATCTCTGTCTGCCTGCAGATACTCCATCTCACTTGATGGACATCTTTTGGATGAAGTAGGGAGGGAGGGCAGTGAATCAGGCGGTTACTACTCAAAACTGCTGCAAGAAAATGATGCTGTCATACATTCTTCCACCAGGCTGCAAGAAAATGATGCTGTCATACATTCTTCCACCAGGTTGTTAGCGGAGAGCCGCCACCCTCTGGTTCCTTCATCTAGAGAACCTGGAGCAAATCAACCACTTCACATTTTGTTATCTGTCCCTCCAATGCAAAAAACGATCACAATCACCGAGAAAGATGGAGTACTCTCTCTGGATATGACGAATTTAAGATCAATACTTGAGGAATGCGAACATCGTGGGCTGTGTAGTGTTATGGTGGATGTAAGATGTGATTCCTCTACTGAATTTGGCCGGTTTTTGAAAGAGGGTTTTGAGCAAAGTCTGTTCCAGAAGGCTGTGGTCGAGGTATTACCAGTCTGGGGAGGGTCGCACCATTTGAACAGCTTGGGGCAACTCGGTCTGAAGGTGAAGAGCTTGACATCAACGGTCTCTGGTGACACTGTTCTCCTGGAAGCATATTTTTGATTCCAACATATGTGAATGTAGTAGAGTGATGACTGATGATCACTCTCCCTCTTGGTCCCACATGTGTAGCAGCATCTAATTAAATTAGTTTTTCAACAACTATTTAAACAATTTAAATAATTGTTTTTAGATTCTAAATATATGTTCTGCTCTGGATTATTTATTTTCCAATTAAAAACTTTAGTTTTAACTTTGGCCAATTCTAGAGCACCTTTGAGTAATTTTTACCGGAGCAAAAGATTATAGATGTAAAATACGATTGCGGGCGTAGCAGGCAATATTGTGTGAGTAGGTGCAACCGTGCAAGGAATATAAAAATTCAGTAGGTAATATTCACTTTTACAAAAATAAATTACTAATATTATGTATACTTTTTTATGTAGGGTACATACCAAATCCCACACTTCAAACTAGACTACATAATTTGAGAGTCCATTAATGTTCAAATAGATCTAAAAAAGTTACCTTAAATTTTATGTACAATATATAATCAAATATGAAATAAAAAAATAATTTAGCTTTATTTTTTCTCAATTATATACTCCGTAACATTTTGGTATGAGACAAATATTGAAGCGATAATATTTATTTATTAATACGAGAAGTAACTTTGACATGAAGAACCTCTTCCTTTGGTTTACTGATATCATTCAGTTTTTTTTTTCATTTAAATTATTTTATAAATCATTTCTAATTTCTATATTCATTTCAATCAAATATATTATTTTGTTCGGTGTGAACCAATAAGAGTGACAAGTTTATCAACTATAACAACATCTATTAATGGTGTCCTTCGTTCATATAATTATACATGGTCACATTATTAATAAATTAATTTATAATTTATTTCCTTACAATGATGTTATGTTTAGAACTTTAGTTCAAAATGCGCAACATGTCTCACACTTGATTTTTATTTTATTTTTATTGTTTAGTTTATGTCCATGTGTTAGTTTAGGCCCTTTAAAGTCATATGCATAGAGAATTAAAATCAATGTGGATGTTGCGTTTAAAGGCAGGTCAAGAGCCATAGGGATGGGTTGGGTTGCTTAGGATTGCGAGGGAGCTTTTCTAGGGGGAGGGGGGTATTCATAGACCGGGTGTAGTCTTGTTAGGAAAGTGGAAGTTGTAGCTTTGAGGGAAGCTCTAAGTTGGGCCCGGGATGTCGGGTGGGATCTTGTGGATACGGAATCTGATGCTCCCTGAGTTATCTTGAGTGTGTGAGCTTGATCTAATGAATAGTCTTTAGGGTTTATTACAGATTATATTAAACATATATCAACTTGTTTTTGCTAGAATTACATTCTCTTATTCGAAGCGCTCAATGAATTGAGTGATCCATCAACTTACAATAGTAGCTGTTTCTTTATCTATGGCTGTTTTCGGCACGATTATCCTCCGAGATGTATTTCTTCATACATGAAAATTGGTTTGAATTTTTTAAGAAAAATTGAAAACAGAAGATTCAAAAGGGAAACACCATCAATTGTGCGGCTATTTTTCTTCTTTTGCTTTGGCGAGATTAAGCGGGGGCAAGCGAGAGGTGTATAGGCAAGGAGGGCCGGATCTTGCAATGATTGAGAACAAGATCCCCAGCAGCCTCTAGCGGCCGAAGGTTGTGCATGGACAGAAGATGGATGTCTGGTCTCTGGTGGCCAAAGGTTATGCACCCCAAGCAGCAGGTGGAGAGTTTCGAGGATTTCGTTCATGGCTGAGATCAGAAGGTCATGGACGAAACGTGGGGCTAGAGGCTAGAACGGATTTGGATTCGAGGTCATCTGTGTTAGGTGGCGACAGAGGAGGCTTGGTAGAAAACATGATGAATAAGAGGCAATGTGAGGAAGAAGCTACAGTACTGTTGTATCGTCCCCCTCCTGAACCACCGCCATGGAGTGCAGGAGAGTCTAGGGTTGGAAGCAGCATTTTAAATTTACTGTTTGCTTGCTATTTATTTTTCATGATCATACTATTTATATTTCTGTTGGTTACTTTTATTGTTGTAAGACTCTTGCATTAGGATTGAGTGATGGGAGGTCTGTTTTAACCGTCGTTGGCTCATTTATGCACATTATAGGACAGCGAGTCATATTGCTATTTTTGAAGGTGATTGAATCTAAGTCTGGTTTGAGGACTGGCGGTTGCATGTGGTCCTTTTGTCGTTTCACCCCCTATCTGAATGTTGTGATATCAATTTAAGCTTTTTTGTTCCAAAAAATAGGAAACATCGATTTGCAAATCTCACAAAGATGTAGACTTTATTTGCAGACTGAGTGCTTCAATTATGATAAAATTGCCCCAATTTCACTAGCCACCTGAAATATAATAAAACATGTAGTCTCAATCTTTGACACAAAAGTGGTTCTTGAAGAGGGCGAACTGCCTCAATGCTGAAGAAAATTCAGTTCATGATTGATGAAGATATCAACACAGAATTCTTAGCAACAGAGAAGAACACCCGACTGGAGATGGGTTCCTTGATCCCAGCGACAAAAAAACCATAAAAATCCCACTAGTGACCATGTGTATGATACTAATCGGTTATTTACTACATCACGCAAACTTTACGGGTCACCTCCATAAGAGACGCTAGTAACGGGTACACTGCCTCAATCACGAAGTCATCGCAGACAATGTCTTTGATATTAACGAGATAGTCTCTAAATCGCGTTCATCTGACGGGTCAGCTCCATCATAAAACCTTGTGACTACGCATACACTGAGTCAAGTGATGGAGACAGGATGGTAAATCAGGGTGGGCGGGTGAAAATAATATTATTGGTGTGTGCCAGGGCCTAGGTTGCTCCCCTAGCCCTGACTGGATCCATCACAGACCTTATTCATTAGATATTCTTAATTGGGTGGCTGTGAAACCATACTTGCTCAAGGGAGGGGATGTGGAAAGAAGAAAGAGGAGGGGAAGAAGGGAGACCACAATTCAAGTCATTTTTATAGTAATATATATTAATTTGAGAACATAATTAGTTATATTTTTATCTGATCACATTCCATCAGTAAGGATGTTTTTACTTGGATTGTAATTGATGGAGTATATGGCCCGGGAACCCCCGGTCCACAGACTCCTACTACTCCAATAAAGGCCCAACAAGTCCAGAAAGCACAAACAGGCCCAAATCACAGCGCTCAGAGTACCAAGCGGCCCACAGTGCGCACCAAGGGTGCCTTCGCCCCCCTGACCGAAGGCCCTGATCCTCACAGGAGGGTCAAATCAGGAAAACAAAGTTACTGGGAAAAACGGCGAAAATCAGTAGCCCTCGGCACCTAGAGCCCTCGGCACTAAGGAGATCCCCGGTACTCAGAGCCCTCGGCTAATCACCTACAGCCGAGGGCACCTCTTTCGACATAATATCCGCTCCACATGCGTATGGATCACTGTACCCAGTACGACGTCACATCCAACAGCCGCATTAAATGCGGCCACATGCGATTGCCAGCGCCAACCAGTTGAGGTGACCCCTCGACCAATGGATGCTTGACACGTGTCCCTGTCTGGCATTTATTGCTACTATAAATAGCACCCCATTTCCCCGTTGTAAACCACGCTGAAAACGCTGAACACATTTTCTAATATACTCTCTCTCTCTACTTACTTGCTCTGACTTCTCTCTAGTTATTCCTCGTAATAACCCCTCGGATAAGCTACCCCCGGGTACACTATTCATCAGTAATTTGTTGGTCTTGTCTGGTTAAGTTTGATATAGTCAGGTCTGGTTTGAACTAGTCTGGTCTGGTAAACGTCTGATCTCTGTGTATTTTATAACTACGGAAGTCAAGTCTAGTCTGATCTAGTTTGTTTACGTCTGGTCTGATCTGATCTAGTCTGTTTAAGCATGGTCTGGTCTGGGACTGAAAATAATCTAAGTAAAAACATCCTAATACTCAATGCCATTTTTTCTTAGTTATAGAGCAAATATGAAAATTTAAAACACAAATACAGTGCACCATATCCAATCCAACAAATTTTATTATTGATCCTACAAGTATTACACTAATTCTACAATTAGTCCATGTCTTTAAGTTTGAGCATTTTTAGTATATGACTATTGTTTTTCGTTAATGTGTGGCTCTTCCGTTGATATTTCCTGTGATTAAAATGCAGAAGATGCGTCGAAAAAATGGACGAAGGACAACAAATGGCACATAAACACTAGTTAAGTATCAAAAATGGAAAAAGTGAAAGATGTAGATTAAATATGAGATTCATATAAAACTCGTAGGATTAAAAATAGAATTAACTTTTCTGGTCCAACATACTCTCCACGTCCCTCAAAACTTGGCCAAGTTTGATCGGCACGAATATTAATTAAGTAAAAATTGTGTGACTGATGTTTCTTCAAACGAGAGACAATCAACTGAAAACACAAATTTTTTATTTAAAGAAAAAAGGGAAAATGGAAACTAATAATCCAACCTTTTAGCGGTCTTCTTACAATAGTCTCACATTTTCATTATTTATGAATAATCCAACCTTTGCACCTCATCTTCATTCACCGGTCCCTGACCGATTTATGACCTGTTAGTCCAAGGTATTTTCTTATCTTTGCAAAACATTATGTGATCATAAGGTGAGAATTATGGTGTAATGTTTTACAAAGATAAGAACATAACTTGAAATAACAAATCATAAATCTATTAAGAACCAGTGAATGAATGAAGATGAGGTGACAATAAAAACGTTATTTGACAAACTAACCTTTTTTTGACATTAAAACCCCAAGAATATCGACCGTTATAGCATACAAACAATCAAAACATCATAAGTATCCGTTGGGCTTCATAAGGCGCGTCAAAACGCGTTGTCACTTTCTTCCTGAAACTCAACTCTCTGACTTTCAACTCCGGAGACAAACTCAGTTCCCAGGAGCATCTTAGAGAGAGAGAGAGAGAATCTGCCAAATCTCACTTTTGTTTTGTATTTGAAGAAGAAGGATAGAAAATGGTAGCAAGAACTCCTCCCAAGCTTCAGCAGCGGCACACGGCGGCGGCTCCTCTCAACCCTATTCTCCTCCGTCAAATTCTCAACAAGGTAATTCTCTGCTTCTCTCTGCCCCAACTTTTCCCAATTGACTGAACTTTTATTTCAATCTTATTATCATTCCCTTGCTTCTCTACACAGCTAGTACAATTCACTGTCGGTTTTTCTTTTAAGAAATTAGCATATTTCTCGATGCAATTTTGTAGATTATTTAAGGTATATTTACAGGAGTAGGATCAAGTATACCGCGGTTCCTATTAAAACGGAACTCTAACCGGAACGGGAATTGTCGGTTTTTGAACCGGTACTGTAATAGGAACCGGCGGTTTGGATTCGGTTCTGAACCGTGGACATCTCTAGGATGAAGTCCTAGTCAGATTAGCTAAATTTGATTACTAAAATTAATACTCCCTCCGTCCTGAATTAAGGAATGACAATAAATGACGTTTGCTTTTTACACTTTTGTAAAAGTAGATGTTTATAAGTTAATTAGGAAAAAGTAAAAGTAAGAGTAATTTTGTCACTTTATTCTTATTTACATAACTAAAATAGAAAGTGGAAAACCATTTTGGGACAACCAAAAAAGGAAATTTTGGAAATAAAATTGGGATGGAGGGAATATGACTAGACATAAATAGTAATTAAATAATGTAACTTTTATATTTTAAATAAACGACCTGAATCCCATACTACCTCTTTCCCTAAATAAATGTCCTAGTTTTCACACATCTTAAGGAAAAATATTTACTACCTCTTTACCGCACAGTAGACTGTTTTGACACCGGTGACATTGTTGTGACACTGTTTTGCACTGTTTGATATAGATTTGTTTACCATATAAGGCAAATAAAGAAACTAGACTTTAATCTAGGGAAGGGAGTATATATACTCCGTAGTATATACAGCATATTCACAGGCCTTGCTATCTTCCATATAAGTTATTTATTTATTTAATGTGTTATTTAATTATTACCAAATTATATTTATATCGGGGGATTAATTAATAAGGCCATATAATTGGTAAAGAGAAGAAATTTTGGTCTTACCTGAGCTAATTTTCTCATTATTTAATCAGGGAAAAGTTTCATGATGAATTCTATGCTGTTAGAATGTTATACAGCAATATTGCAATAATATTCATTGATGACCAAGTTAGTTCATGAAAAAGTCAATAGAACAATATTTCCCTCATTCACTGACATGTAGCCCCTGCCCTAAGGATTATGGTTAGTTAGTCCACTCTTTTTTTTTTCGTGTGAAGGTTGACAAGTGTATGGCTAGTTTGGAAGAGCTGCAGTACACAGTGAAAGGAAGGGGTAAGGGGGTGAGTTCTGGAGTGGTTCTTAGCCCTAGAAGCACCAGAGCCTATTCAAGGACTAGCCATAGGTGTAAACAGGAATCTCTCAGGTACCTGCAACATTGTCAATAACAACCTGCAAGTTTCTTGATTTTAGTTCTTCATATTTAAGAACATCCAGTTGTCCTGTTATATTTTTTGAGAAATCTCTTAAGTTGGTGGTGTTTTCTCTCTCTTCACAATCCAAGGATCAGGAATGCTACTTCTAACAAGTCTCCCCAAGGAAAGTTGCCTATAAATGCAGGTATTATAATTTATAGTTAAGCATATAATTCATGATACAGTTAAGCATTCAGTGAAATGGTGGGAAAAGAGAAAAAAACTTGCTCCAAAAAACTTACTTTCCCATCACATTTTTTAATATGCATTTTTCTATGTAAAACCAAACATGAGAATGTATCCCATCACATTTTTTCCATTCCCTTAGCATTTCCCGGGATCCAAACATAGCCTAAAATGCGAAAAATGAATTATGCATTCCCTTCATATCTGAAAAATGAAGGGTATCATGATTGTATTTATTTATTTATTATTACTTATGCAGCAGAGTGGAAGAGAATGTCATTACCAGCAATGCTGCTAGGAGAGACGGTGAATGAAATTCTACAAGCAAGTCAGTTAGCAAGAAAAGTAGTGGAAGCAGCTGCCTCTGATGACAACCCCAAAACTCCTCCACTCACGATTAGGCGAAACAAGAATCCGATCCCCGAAAATTCTGAGCTTATTGCCCGAAGGAAAAGGGAGAAAGAACATACTAAATATGTCCCTGCAGGTGCTCCCTCCATTAGGTGTGCCAGATCGCGTATAAACTTCAAGCGTTCTCCTCCTCTGCACAAGAAAGAAGAATGTGAAAATGAAAACTTATGTAAGTACATAGCCAAAAGGGTGTCTCCTAGGAAGAATAGGCCATGGGCTAGAAAGACTGTTCTTTTCCCCAACCCTTTGTTCCATACATCCCCTCCAACTTCACAACAGAAGCTCGGCAGAAAAACTCAGCTAAAGACACCACCACACAAATTCTTGATCAAGTCTCCCCCTCAGCCGCCTTTTAGCAGATTTCAGGTCAAAATCAGGAATCCTCCATTGTCTATATCTCCTCCTACAAGAAAAACTCAGCTAAAGACACCACCACACAAATTCTTGATCAAGTCTCCCCCTCAGCCGCCTTTTAGCAGATCTCAGGTCAAAATCAGGACTCCTCCATTGTCTATATCTCCTCCTACAAGAAGAGCTGTAGCTGCTAAGAAGTCTCCACAGATTACTATGGCTGGTAAGCTGAAAAGATTATCATTTTCACCTTCAAGGTTGGCAAACAGGCTGCTGCTAGTATCATCATCACCCTCAAAGATGAGAAGATCATTTTCGCCTTCAAGGCTAGCAAAAAAACTTGTCTCTCCATTGAGGAGTAGTCGGAAATCTGTACAGGAGAACACTGTTGCTATGAAGATGATGATGAGCGGATTGAAACAACAACGATCATGTAGTGCTGCTTCATCGCAAATGCAATTCCCAGCTCGGAGATTGTGAATTGTTGGTGGGGTTTGGTTCCTTTTATTTGCACATTGCGTTTCCTATGTCTATACTTCAATTCGATTTTGTACAAATTTATAGAGGGAAGTCCTCACTCAAGGACAATGAAATACTAATTCTTTGTGTACTACTGATTTCTTTTTTGTGTTAAGATGGAGAATGTTGTGTTTGTGTTTCAATGCGTCAGAGCAGTGTGGAACTTTTATTTACATGATAATAAAATTGGGAACTGAGCTTTGGAAATCTGTGTAGCACAGAAACTTGATGTTTCACATTTCCTCTATTTTCGCCTTTCCATGCAACATAGTTGGAAATAAATGGAAGTGCATTAACTGCTGCTGCTGTGACAACGAACTTAAGAATTCCACCACAATCCTTCAATTTCTGGCCGGAAATTGTGGTGGAATTTCTGGTGAAATTGTAGTGAAATTGTGGCCAGAAATTGCAGGGCATTACCTGACACGGCCCAGAAATTTTCTTGTAATATCACGTAATGCCCTGCAATTTCTGGCCGGACTCCTTGTAATAAATGGAAGTGCATTAACTCCTCACGAACTCTTTCCGCGTTATTATTTTCTAATGAGTATAGATTTCTCTAATGGTGATGGCAGTATCATCATTAGCAACGGTTGATTGGTGGAGGACGATGATTGGCAATGGTGGTGATTAGTTTATGACTTGGATGAAAATCATTGATGATTGCCTTAATGTGAAAATTTTGTTTTCCTTTTCGAAAATGAGAACCAAAAAATGTGTTTTCCACTTGATCGGCTACACTGGCTAGAAAGACACTGCCTCTAGACAAAATGATCACAACTATTGAAAAAAATTCTCAATATACTCTAGTGACTTATAATAACCCGTAAATTGCTTATAATATTTCCGAGCTAGTCGAGCATTTTGAGTTTTTTTTAATAGTTGACATTATTTAGAGATAATTGATACTTTAAAGGATTTTGAGCGGATCACCAATACTTGATGATAAGAATGTTAATTACCTATATATTTATATAAGTGAGTATAACTATCGGTATAAATATATAAAGAGAAAATGGATAAAAGTCCCAAATTGAGCAAAAACACGCAAAAGCGTTCAAGAATGCAGAAACGGGAGTCAACAGTCAAAGTGGGCCAAGAACCAGCATTTGGTGTCAACTACGGGCGTCAAAATGGAGCAAAGATCCAAAATATTCGGAAAGAAGAGAACCGACGCCGTGGCCTAATAGGCGCCAGTTGCGTGTATACATTCCGACGTCAAAAAGCCAAGAAGGAATCGGCGTCGGTCAGGCCTACAACTGGCGCCGGTTGTGTCAAAATCTGCACAAAACAATGAAACGTGCGGCCTATTGTTGATGGGAGAAAACCTCACCTTCTTATTGATCTGATCAAATTTTCTTTCATCCTTAATTGTTGGCTTCGAATAGACTAAATGATGTCATTCTTTAGCCTATATAAAGCCCTAAATTCATCAAACGAGATAATCAATCCATCTTTGAAGCTTGATTTTCAGTTTTTATATTTCGTTTTTGCATTCTTTTGAAGAATTGGAGAAGAAGCCATTTTCTTTTCTGCAATCGGTTTCAGGTAACATTTCTTGTATGTCATTGTATTTCCATTATGTTGTATACTCTTTTGTAATTAGTATGAGCTCAAGAGGCTAAATTTCTAGTCAAGGCTATGAGAGGTCAGAGCAAGTGAGATAGAGAGTGAGTATGTATTCGAAATAGAAGTTGTGTGTCATTTACAATGGAAAATGGCCGCTATTTATAGTAGCCATAAATGCTAGGTCTAATCAACGAGGGTACACGTGTCAAGCAACCAGCGATGGAGGGTCAGTTCAACCAGGGTGGCACCGACATAGCATGTGGCCGCATTTAATGCGATGGTTTGGGTGTGACGTTCATATTCAATGCGGCGATCCAACACACGTGGAGGGGAGATCCTGTCGAGGAGAGTGCCCTCGGTTATATACACCCGGGGGGCCCTAATACCGAAGGCTATACATAGTCGGGGGCATCATACCCTGGACCAGGTTCAATCGTTTGCTTAGTGTAGAGCCTTCGGGCATGGGGCCGAAGGCACACCTTGCGTAGTATGGGCTGTCTGGTGTGTTGTTTGCCGTGCTTGAGCCAACTTGGGCCATTTGTGCCTTATCGTAGTATTGGAAGTATGTGGGCCGGGGGTTCCTAGGCTATATACTCAATCAGAACCTTTACGCATACTAAAGGTTTGATAAAAGTTCTGAATCAATAAATTGTGATTTATCTTTTACAATTTAATTTGTGTATGACTATGATGATCAACATGGAATTACATTAAACTTAGTTTATGCTTGCAATGAAAAGATTGAGGACCAAACTATGAACTTAAATAATAAACTTATATAGAGCCGAGATTAGAAATGTATACGATCTTATATGATACATGTGTGATGTCTTGATATTCAAAAGAGTTTTCGTTAGATGAATGTAAGTCATAACGAGACTTACTCGTTAAGAAAACCACGATCCCGCTGCATTCACCGGAGCTGGGAGTATATTAGCGACGTCTATTCAAAAATGTTGGTAAAGAACTTGAATCAATATTAGTAAAGACTTAGGAGTGTTTAGATGATTCCCGAAGTCTTAGTTGTTGTTATTCATTGTCTTAAATTCAAACTATCTAAAATCATATTCCTGATATCAAAGTGAAAAGCCAAGTTATTGTTCTCATAACAAAACATAAATTAAATGCCATGCACTTTACTCCTTTCCGTATTTTAGTAAATTATTTCTTATAACATCTCTCATACAAAAAATATCTCTCTATACATGGGATAAATATATATAAAATAAACCAATGAAATTTCTTTTTTTCCATGCTTTTCTATATTTTTAATTACAAATTATTTTTTATCAACATCATCCATCACAATGTCTATACTCTATACATACACGTTGTGCTTGACAATGTGCTGAACTATTGAAATAAAAAGAAAAATGTACTATTTATTAATTTTATGAGAAAATTACCAGGCGTGAGACTAAAAGACAACGTCTTTCCCAAAGTATGACTGCATGGATTTTTATTCTTATTGTGTGACTTGCACATGTTCATGGATATGCACGCGGTTTTTAATTTTTATTTCAATCCCAATAGTGCCCTTTTTCCATTTGATTAATGATATGCTATTTCATCCCAAAATAAACAGCCTCGTTAAGCATGAGTCTTTGACGTAATACTTTGGCACGACATCATGCGTCATAACCGTTTTGAGTAATAACCGCTGAATTAATTATGGAAGCTCCTACAAATTAGGGGTTAATGAATAGAAGTTAACTCTTTCATTATTACTCTTGCACATTCAAAAGCGTAAATATCACTTCCATCCAGGTTAGTGCTACCTTTACTCCTTTACTGATGCCTTAAATATCAATGGAACTACGTACAATATAGTGAAACACACTGCCCTAGCCATTATCATGTACTCCATATCCTAATTTAATGCGTACCGCTCTTGCCATTCTTTAATCACTTATATATTACTGCCCTACTCTTCTAATTTACACATTACTGTCCTTACACTGTCCTCAAATTCATACACAATAGACCCAAACTATCAGCACATTACTTCCTGTACTCCAGCCTCTAGGACATTACCACCTCTACTCCATATATATTGCCTAAAGAGTAAAGATCTCAATTGACCTAAGTTAACCCCAATCACCACTGCCCTATCCATTATCATGTAATACATACTCTACTCTTAATGTCCACTGCCCTTCACTTGTTATCCCAGTTACCCTTTCATGCCCTTGTCGTTGCTTTCTCATTGTTCCATCAAAATCAAAATGACATAATGCCCTACTCTATCAAAATCACATAATGCCCTTGTCCAATATTATGCTTTCTCCAATCAACATCTTATAATGCCCTACTCTATCAGTTTATCTCATTCCCCGTTCACACAACCCTTCATACGACATGCAGGTTGAAAAAGATAAAAGAAAAGGCAACGTAACTCGAAAAACATGGTTGGAAATCACCACGCCGTCGAGTGTGACTATATTGGCGTAGGAAGTAGAATTGGTGCCGTCATTTGCACTTATTGCCTCCGTTTGTATGCCATTGTCATTCACCGACGCCATCGTCAACTTCTATTCTTCATGTTGGGTGTGTCTCAGAAAAACGAAGAAATATTAATTAATAAAAATAATTAAATAGCCAAAGAGAAACATAAAAAATAAATGGGACAGAGTTTAGCCAGAGCTCGTGCTACGCACGATGTCCGTAAAACGTATTCGTCGCCTCCCACGGTGCTAGGAGCGTTGCAACGACCGTTTCCCAGGATACGGTGGGTAACGAACTAACGTTTGAGCACACAAACGAGAGTTCCGGCGAACGGGAACAAAGGAGAACACTCAGGAATTTTCGGAGTGGCTGGAAGTGTTTTAGAGCTCAAAATACGTGAGGAGTGTCTTGTGTGTTTGTTGCAAAGCACCTGCCAACTATTTATAGGAGGATTTGTTGTGTGTTAAATGGGGTGTTAATGGACCTGAACGTTGGACATTAATGACCGGTCCATTGGGCATTGAATCGTCCATAAATTGTCCATTTAACGCTGCATTAAAAGACAAGAACATTGGGCATTTAATTGCTGTAACGGGCTTGGAGCAGTTCTGGTGCGCGACCAGAATACCCCCATCAGAGTTGGAGCAACTCTGATGCGAAGCCAGCAGAGGACCCCCCTAGCAGATGACCAGTTTGTTGGGCATTGAATCGTCCATAAACTGTCCATTTAACGCTGCATTAAAAGACAAGAACGTTGGGCATGTAATTACTGTATCTTTGAATGGTAGATTTTCGGGCGACATTCGTGTCCGCAGGTCGCTCGCGCACACGAGTCACGGTTTTTCTTCTCCGTTGCGGGATTTGATCGACACCCTCCCTGCGCGCGAGAGAGAGCCTTTACCTTTAGGAATCTTAACTGCTTAAAAGAGGCTTCCCTTTATAAGGGGGTGAAAATCCCTTGAGTTTTCCGGTGTGGTATAAAACACACTAGAAACTCATCATTTTCCCAGTTTTTCCATTTCAACGAGTGAACTTCGAGAATCAATTTCTCATTCACCCGTTATCCGTTTTGAGCGTACCATATATCGAATTGTAGCCCTTAACAAGGACAATCCGAAACCACTTTGACTCAACCCAAATCGGAAGTGGACCCCACTCAAATAATTGCCCCAAAATGACCATTTAATGCAATTTTTAACACATTTTTCCAACACTTCAAACCCGACTCACAGAAGTTGCCCGTCTTCTTTGATGTACTGTTCTACAAGGAAGTTGTTTCCTTCTGGTTCTCTAGTGCAATAATGCCCTGCAGTCCGTCATTAAGAACTCGCAGCCTTTCCGTTTCAAATTTTTAATTTCCATTTGGGTTTTGACTTTTCACATAGACTAATTAAGGGCATTGTTGTCTTTTGATTTTAAATTATAACCGCTCCATAGTCAGCACACGTGCATTGTAGTCATACAACCGGAAATGTACTCTTCTAGTCATACTCTGGGAAAGTACGCATGTTTTAGTCATACGGTCGTATTTTTCCCTAATTTTACACCTCTCATGACACATGTGTGTCATTCACATTTTTGCACTGAAGATACTCTTAGGTATGTTTGGGAGTTGTGTTTTGGAGGGGAGGGGAGGGGAGGGGAAGGATTATGAGGTTTTACGACCTCTCTTATCTTGTTTGGGAGTTTGAAAGGAATGATTTTTGAATGAATGGTTCTCGTAACCTTCAAATGCTCAATTTTTAAGTTCTTTCAAATTAGGGGATTTTGAAAGATAAATAATTAAATGATAACCTTAACTTAATTAAAAACGAATATAAATTCAACTATTCAAATTCGCCAAATCTTTAATGTGATTATAATTCTTTCTTAGCCCCCTCTCTATTCGAATTTGTAACTCCCAAACTAAAGGAAAGATTTCCTCCCATTCCCCTTTCCCTTCCCCTTACCTTTCCCTTCTGGAACTCTGGAAGTAACGTTCGAAGTCTTCCGCTTCCTTTCCCTCTAAACTCCCAAACACACCTTTAGATTGTTAATCAATAATACACAAGGCATTGTTATTCAACATGCCTATCCATGAGAACATGAGGCTAGATTGGTTGTAGCATCTTTCTGGACCCATTCAACCTCAAAGTTGTTAGTTAACAAGGTTGAAATTTGAAATAGCTCAAACTAGTTATATGACCAATTCACGATTTGAATGTTGAACCATCCGGATTGCTGGTTCCGACCATGTTTTAAGAACATTAATTTCTAAGGATAGTTTCAAGTGAAGTGATATAGTCTGATTTGTTTATAAGTCTGGTCTGATATGTTTGAATCTGATCTGAGAATAAAACCAATCCACTTAAAAACATATTAAGTACTCAAACAGATCGGGGAGAAGATTAATTTGACTTATAGACAGTGATCTTGAATTCATCCCCGGCCAATTTCAAAATCTGAGAATTGTAGACACAAAAAACTATGTAAAATATGTGTCAAACAAAGTAATCCTCACACAGTCACACACAAATAGTCTATATCAAAATGTGTAATACCAATAATGACGGGTTAAATTTTATGAACAGTTCAAAGACAAAGATGGCCAATGTTTATGAGGCAAGAAATGAATTCTTGTTACTACTTTGCATGACTTTCATCTTCAAAGGACTCCACACCAACTGCTTCTTGGGTAATTCAATAACTGTTGGAAGCTTGGGCCTCCACCATGAACCTGCTTGTTGTGAACAAGGACTCTCCATGACTTTGCTGCAACTTGAACTGACTGGTGTGTCCACCACCAATGCGGCAGCAGCAGCACTTGGTTTCTCCTCTTCCACTGGTGGTGAGAACAATCTTGATGTGCGACGCATTCTTTGTGGGTCCCAGACAAAAGATTGCCGACCCCTTGAACGATAATCATTCTCTGGGTTCACTATGGAACTCTTAGCCGGAGTTATCATGCATGATTCTGTGGGGTGCAAGGTTGCCAAAGAAGCTCTTCGCAATGGTTGTTTAACCTGCCTATTTTTAGCTTGAGGTGGGGTGAGTCTAATAGCATAGGAAACCCTTCTTGCTTTGGAACCAGTGTTTTCTTTCATCTTCAAATCACTCCACAATAGCTTCTTCTGTAAAGCAACGACTGTTGGATGCTTGGGCCTCCACGAACCTGGTTGTTGTGAAGGTGGACTCCCCACGGAATTGCTGCACTTTGGACCCAGTGGCGTGGCTTCCACTAATGCAGCGGTTGATGTTGTCTCCTCATCCTCCTCCTGTTGTGGCGAGAGCACCCTTGATTTGCGCCACACTCTTTGCGGGTCCCACACATAAGATTGTCTACCCATTGAACGGTGATTATTCCTTGAGCGAACTATGGAGCTCTTACCAGGACTAACGATGCTGTCAGACTCTTGGGGGAGCAAGGTTGCCAAAGAAGCTCTTCGCATTGGTTGTTTTTTAACCTGTAGGGTTGTGGCTTGAGGTAGGGTGGGTTTAATAGCATGGGAAACCCGCCTGGCTTTAAGACCAGCGTATGCTTTCATCTTCAAAGGACTCCACACCAACCGCTTCTTCTGTAATGCAACAACTGCTGGAAGCCTAGGACTCCCTAAGGGCTTGCTGCATCTTGGAACGACTGGTGGGGCTTCATGCAATACAGCAGCCGCACTTGATTTCTCATCTTCCAGTTTTGGTGAGAGCACCTTTGATGTGCACCACACTCTTTGCGGGTCCCAGACAAAAGATTGGCGACCCATTGAACGATGATCATTCCTCGGACAAACAGCGGAGTTCTTAGCAGGAATTATCATACCTGATTCTGGAGGGCGCAAGGTTGCCATAGAAGCTCTTCGTGTTGGTTGTTTAACCTGCAGATTTGTAGCTTGAGGTGGGATGGATTTGATAGCATGGGTATCCTGCCTTGCTTTTACGTCGGTGTTGGCTTTGCTAGCCATTATGGCATTTTCTTTGTCCTCATAGACAGTTGGAAGGAGCAAGCTTCGTCTTGGATGGACAGAGGATGGCTGTTGGGGCACTAAGTGGGTGATTTTCTGAAGTGGGAGTCTTGGTCTCAGAGCCAGTGGTGGTTTCCTCTCCGTTCTTGCCACCATCATCCTAGTCTGGTTGAGAGATGGTAAGGCTGAAGAAGACTGGTTAGAAACTGCAGCCGAAACCCTATTTTCCTGCTTTAGCTTTAGCTGTTTCTTTTTTTCTTCCACTAGTTTATTCTCAAGATGAAGAACCTGTTGGCATTGTGATTAATATCTAAATCATCTGAATCAAAACTGAATATTAAACAGAAAGGAATATAGCATGCCCTTATAAACCTTCTGCTGAAGATTCTTGCATGTATGTTCTCTGGCAGAAAGCCGCAATTGCAGAGACTGCACGCTGTCTTGCAATTTCTTCATTTCTCGCTCATCATGTTTGCTTTTTTCTGCCTGTTCAAGCACATAAGGAGAGCATCAGTCATAGGACCATAGCACTAAAGATGTCTGCCCTTTAAGTGTCAAATTCTGCGTACCAATTGTTTGTTCTTGGAAATTTCAGTAAGATCAGCTAATTTACGTGCAGGACCGTGCTCAACTCCTCTTACACGGCTTGCAAAGTTCAATGAGCAAAGGGTTTCGCCCAAGTCAGCCAAACTCGGACTGATTTGGACAAACATCACCGTTTTGCAATCTGCGCCTGCAGTCACAGGGATTTCCAAAATAATCTAGTTGAAATAATGAAACAGTAAAACCACAGAATAGAGGTTGTTGTAAAGTATGAGAAAATACCTAGAGAGCTCTGCAGTATATGTGTGAGCTTTGAGTTTCTGATTAGCCCACAAGCAACCCAAGGTTATACAGGGAAAAGGAGAGAGGGAAAATGCCAACAAGTGAATAGAACCACAATTCAGTAGTAGGATGGGTTAGGAAGAGAACATACCTATATGGAACATGTGCCATCTTCGCTGCAAGAGCAGAGATTACATCACCAAGTGCAGATAAGGATTTGTTTATAAATTGAGACTCCTTCAACCTTTCACCTTCAGCTTCAATCCTCCCAACCCTCTCACTACCTGCCAAGTCAACCAGCCAGAGGTGGCTCCTTGTCCTCTGTGCATTTACTAAATTCTCCCCAATAACGGTCAATCGCAATAAACTGATTAAAAAATTAAAATAAAAGTTAACTTCATGTATCTTCTTCTCTGAACCAATAGCCCTCTGTAAAATGGAGAAATGGAGTGAGTAATAATAATAAAAAGTCCATAAAAGCAGTACCAGTGTGACCGACTACTAAGTTCATTAGCACAGGTTGATCCCACGGATCTAGCTCGACTTCCAGATTGGAGAAGTTCCCAGACGTCATCTGTACCATATACGGGTATTTCACGAAGTCCTTGAACTTCCTGGGTCCCTTCTGCAGATAGCTTCACTTCCACTCTGCATACATGAGATTTAGTAATTGCTTCCGGATACAAGAGCTCTAGAAATGTTTCTGGTACAGAGCAGGAGATATATACTGGCAGTACAAGACAAGGTAGCAGTAATACTTAAAACGCGAAAATCTAAAGGAATGTCTGTGGAACCGAGAAACTTACTTCTTAGCTGGTTGGTTGCACTTCTCAATAAGAAGGTCCCTTATTTTATCATTGTACACCTCTAACATGCTGACAAAAAGCTCATATTTCATGATACTACTTCTCTGCTTAGCTGAGCTAAATAGTTTCTCCAATGTTCGATAGTTGACTCCTCTATTTTCAGGCGTTCCTTCCATTGTGAATGTCTTCCCAGTCCCAGTTTGTCCATACGCAAAAATACAGACATTAAAACCATCCAAAACTGAAGTTACAATTGGCATTGTTTCAGCAAAAACCGCCTCTGCGTTGCAAATAGTGTGCAATTATATTAGTATATCATCATGTTATCTTTGAAATAAACAAAAATATTACTTGCTTACTAGACTTACCTTGACCATCCTCAGGTTTAAAAACATGATCAAACCTGAACTGTTTTCTAGTGGAATCAGAGGACACAATTTGTATCTCATTTTCCTGAGATAAATCAAAATCTACCACAGATGTTGATCCATTTGCAATCTCATTAGGATTTAATGGTCGACACCTGCAGAAGACCCGTATATTTCCTTTCAGCTCAATCACTTCATTGTAGAGGCGCTTTCTCTCAGAGCACTCATCAAGATATCTTTTCTTCAAGAGTTCATGTTGCGTGCCTAAAACCAGTTCAAACTTCAAAACGCTGAACATGCCAAACCAAGAGCAAGGGATTTAATAAAAACCAACGGATTTGTGTATAAAACAAGAAGCATACTCAGATCCTTAAGAGCTTCAAAGCTTGGAAAAGGATTTGCAGTGATATCCTTTACTTCATCTCGTAGAGCAGTGTGTACTCTTTTCAAATCCTACAAAGATCGTAAGGGCACAAGTGATTGCAAAGAAAATTTAGAAGATAGTTTATCAATATTCACTTGTAACAAGTATAGTCAGGCAGTCAAAAACTTACGTTTAATTTATTGTTCAGGTTTTGAAGAACAGAAACAGTTTGTTCTTGATATTTCTCATCTACTAACTCACTGTTCACTTGTATTTCTGCATCAATTTCACAAAATAAAGCCCCGGTAAATTATGATGCACAGCAGCTCAAATATAGACTTCCACTACACTGAATTACTGAAATGGTTCAGTATTTCTAAGTTCGATATCAAATATAAAAACATAGAGCACATAAATTAAAATTAGCTAACGTGAAAACGAATTTCATCAGATTAAAGTGAAAAATCACCTATTAAATTAATTACATTTTCTAAGGAACATTTGAATTCCTTAGTTCTAGGTTTAGACTGCTAATATTGGTAACAAACTTGCGAAGTTACGAACACATAACAAACCCCGCGACATTACTTGGGCATTGTTCGAGGGAAGAGATAAAGGAAGCACAAACTAGAAGATCGTATAGATTTTTGTCGGAAATCAAGAAATAAGGAAATCTCATAAACAGCACCATATGAAAGGAATATCTAAAACACTGAACAATGAAATTCAAATTAATTTAGAAGAAAAGCATGTTTGCATCCGATAAGAAATAAAGTCTCGAGGAGTACCGCCCATCTGTGGAACGCAAGATTCAGAAATCGGAGTTTCAAATGCACAGGCCATATGCGGCCGGGAAGAGACTGGAGAGGAAACTGAAAGCTTCAGGAACGCAATCTTCAGAAATCGTATTTCAGAATCACAGGCCAGATGCAGCCGAGGAGCGAGTGAAGAGGAAACGGGAAGCTTGAGGAATTTTCAAATTTTTGAAATTTGGTTGATCTGATTGGCTGTACCCCCTTAACAGATACTTCCTGTATGACTAATATGAGGTAGTACTTCTCTTATCATATTCGGAAAAATAATTAAAATAGCTCAAACTTTAAAATTGTGTTAGATAAACACTCCATATTTGCACATGAATTTTGAATACCTAAAACATTATATAAAAAGTTATTTTGGCATCATAGTCAAATATTATTTCTTTCAAAAATGTAAATTTATGGTGTAAATTGTATAACTTAAAATATTTTAGAATTCATGAATATACAATTAACATTATAAACTTTCATTGCAAAATAAATAATGATACCGCCAATCTATATAATTACAACATTTTTAATTTGCTATTTTAGATTGTGCAATTAACCCCACAAAGTTATACGAGTATTTTTTATAGAAATAATACATGACAATGGTGCGAAAATAAGTTTTTATATAAAGTTTAGGGTATTTAAATTAGAAAAAATTCAACTTTTGGTCCCATGACTATTATACCACTTCCAAATTTAGTCCTTTAGTTTCAGATTGTCCACATTTAGCCCGTGACCATTATCCCCTCACCACCCCTCGTCCTTCTGGCCAAAATTCCGGCAAATTTAGTCCACTTATCAGCCTCAAAATCAGTCTTTACATTAAATTTTATATAAGGTTGGGTTTTTCATATCTATCTTTGCATTAAATTTGGTTTTGCATATCTAAAATCTGCATTAAATTTGCCGGAATTTTGGCCGGAAGGACGAGGGGTGGTGAGGGGATAATGGTCACGGACTAAATGTGGACAATCTGAAAGTAAGGGACTAAATGTGGAAGTGGTATAATAGTCACGGGACCAAAAGTGGATTTTTTTCATTTAAATTACATATGCAAGTTTGGGGCGTTTACTTCACACCCCATAAAAATTGTGAGAATTTTTATTATTTTTCTCTATTCCTATATGATACATACACACACTAGCTAGTATCTTTTTTAATTACTAATATGTTTGTGTTTATCATATTTGTAAATTTACAAATTATATATTTTGTCATAGTGATTTTAAGTAATCCCTTCATCCTGCTAAGATTGTCCCGTTTTACATTTTCCTTCCGTCCCACTAAAATTGTCACATACCAAATTTGTTGAAGTTTGTGTGGCTCTAAATTATTCATACTTTATCGATTCAATATCAACCACATAAACCATTTTTTATTAGTTTGCGTCTCACTCCCTCTTGTCCCGTTGTTATTGGGACTGAGGGTGTATAAGATAAGCGGACTAATAATTGGGCGGAAGAATTTTCTCTCTCATTCGTAGTGTTTTTAGATTTTAAGAAGATAAGCGAAATAATAATTGAGTGAGAGAATTTTCTCTCTCATATGTAGTGCTTTCGAGTATAAGATAAGATAAGATAAGTGGTCTAATAGTTGAGCAGAAGAATTTTCTCTCTCATATGTAGTGTTTTTAGGTAGAAGAGATTGAACATAAATGTGCTAATAATTGTGCGGGGAAATTTTTATTTCACACGTAGTGCTTTTAAATATAAGATAAGATAAACGATCTAAAAATTGAGTGGGGAGATTCCTCTCTCACGTGTAGTGCTTTTTATATAAGATAAGCAGACTGGTAAATGATAATTTCTCTCTCATATGTAGTATTTTTTGGTACAAGGTAAATGGAATAATTTTTGAACGGGAGAATTTCCTCTCTCATACGTAGTGCTTTTTGGTATAATAAGAAGATAAAATAAACGGACAATTAATTGAGCGGAAATTTTTCAGTCTTACATGTAGTGCTTTTAGTTTGATATTTTTACTTTAATTTTCTTTTACTTTGAATATTTTTGTACAAATTTATCCTTTTGATATTCATTTATTATACTCCGTTTGTGAAATGATGTAAAATTGTAAAAAAAAACTATTTTTATATTTTATCATATCATGAATACAAATAAATCTAGATCAATTGTTTTCTCGTGCCTATGCACGGGTACTGTGCTAGTACACTAAAAATATTTTACCAAATAAATTTTCCCAATTTATTACTTGTATAATATTTTAAAAAATTCCCAGATTCAGCCAAATTCACTAACTTAATTACTTGTATAATTTCAAGTAAAGCTGGTTTGGTATTTCAATTTTTATGGTTAGGGAGTATAGTCATTTTTGGTAAACAATTATTTTTAATTTGTTATGCTAAATTCTAGAATATTTAAATTAAGAGCCCGTTTGGTAGCACTCAAATTGGTTGAATCGGTTTATTCTGTTGAAGTTTATGAAGTTAAATTATGCTAAATTCTAGAATATTATGTTAAATTACTCTTTATTCTGTGCTCTCTAATATACTCCGTACAACCTATGGAACATAATAGTGGAGGAGCTAGATGGGCATGGGGGCAAAGCGTTCCCATTTCGGGCCAAAAAATTAGTACTGTTACTTATAATATACGGAGTGGTGGTGGGGCAATGGTGGTGGGGCAGGGGCTGAGGTGTGGTGGTCACCGACGGGGAGGCAGTGGTAACTCACAGGAGGGCTGTAATCGGAGTAATTTTGTGTCACTGTGGTCGGCGACGACGACAGTGACATGGGCGGTGGCGGCAATGACACGGGCGACGGCGGCAGTGACACCGGCGGCGGTGGAAGTGACACCGGCGGCGGCGGCAGTGACACCGGCGGCGGCAGTGACACCGGCGGCGGCAGTGACACCGGCGGCGGCAGTGACACGGACAGTGGTGACAGTGACACGAGCGGAGGCAACAGTGACATGAAAATGAGGCCGTGACATGAATATTTTGCTATTACTTTATTTTAGTCACATTTTTGTCGAAATGTAAAAGTGTTACATTTTCGGAAATCAGCCTTAATTTAGTAATATTCAGGAAATAACCCCTATACTTAATGTCCCCTCTCTTAAGAAAAAATTACTAATTAATTAAGGTCAATTTTAAATTGTATTAAAACAAGTATTGATTACATCATACCACACTAATTTGAATGCAAAGGTGGATTGTTTTAGACTTTTAATGGCACAAGGGTATAGTGAGCAAGAAAGTATTGAAATTGACGAATATATTGTCACATTTAATTTATTGTAGCAAAAAGATCAAAACATTCTTGATAATGTGTCTGATTCCCACCTAAATGGAGGAATTCATGAGAGTTTAGAATATTCTAAAGTTATCTAGGATTGTCTATATATGTGTAGAGAAGTATTGAATGTTCTAGAATAATGTGAAGTTTTCTAGAGATGTGTGAAACTCACGAAAATCATGTGGAAGTCTTTAGAACGTTTTGAAGAATTTTGGAATTCTCTAGATCCTTCTAGAAGATTAGAAAAGCTTGTGGATTGGAAGAATCTAGAAGTGTACTAGTGTATAAAAAATTATAGAGAAACGTTGATGAGATTAGTATAGATAGGAGTCAGACTCCTCATTTCTATGACAATCTTGAGGAGAGCTCTTGAATGAGTGAAAAGCAGAGCCTTCTTGAGAGAGGACACTGAGAGCTTTCTTGTGAGAGAAAAATACTCATGGATATTCCTTGATGGGTGTGAGCTAGTGAAGAGCATTTTTAAGGGTGTGAGGAGACAATTTAAAAAGACTTCTCATATGTGTATGTGATCGAGTTAGGTAAAGTGAAGAAGTCTCATATATAAATTAAAGAGTGAAGTGAGCTACCCGTTTAGTTGTAAAATGTCTCATGTACATTTCAATAGTGCAATACAAAGTGATATTGCCGGATTGGGTCTATGTATTATGAGTTTGTGAGTGTGTGTACAAGAGTACTATGAGCTCATGATCCTCAAAAGGGTTAGTGGTCGTGTTTTCCCATCATGAAGTTACCATGCAACATTGTGAACATATGAAAACTCATTTGATTGATTTACCCAAATTATAGTCATGAGTCAAGTAGTATGTAATGAACTGTAATTTGTGCTAATGTATTACTCCCTCCGTCTTGAAATAATTGTCATGCTTTCCTTTTCGGTCCGTCCCGAAATAATTGTCCTACTTCGAAACTTTCCTTATTTAGTAAACAAATCTATACAAAACAGTGCCAAACAGTGTCGCTACAGTGCCAAACAGTGTCGCCACAGTGCCAAACAGTCTCGTCTCAGTGCCAAACAGTGTCGCTACAGTGTGAAGTCAACTTCATTTTCTTAATCTATGTGAAGGTCAAAACCAGATGATTAATTCAGGACGGGGGGAGTACGTTTTTATCATTTTTATTACATTTTGAGCAAATACACAACAATTCTTAATTTTGGGTACGCTCCCCCTCTGAAAAATCTCTGACTCTGCCATTGGAACATACCCCCTCCGTCCCTTAAAACTTTGTCATCTTTCCTTTTTGGGACGTCCCAAAAAACTTTGTCAATTTCCCTTTTAATCAATTATTTTGTGGTTTCTGTTATTTCTCTCCTCTGCACAAACCTCAACCACACACTTTTTACTTTATTATTCTCCGTGCCGGTCAACTTTGGCAAAATTTTGAAGGACGGAGGTAGTAATATACAACAACAACATCAACATCAACATCAACATCAAACACTGATATAAATCATTTACAAGTGAGCGAAGCTTCTAACAAGGTTCAACAGAGGTCAGTCAATAAACTTAATGTATGGAAGTTAGTATTACTTCTCTTTCTTCCTTTATTTTTACATATCAAACTAGAAAGAAATTTATTTACATTTAAGTTATTTCTTAAAAACTTCTTTATTTTTTATCATATATCTATATTATTTATTCAATTTTCTAAACATTTTTATTTTTTTAATCATATATCTATATTATTCATGTTGGGTACTTCAACGAGATTTCAACTAATTAATATAATATCACAATAACTTTATTTTTTATTTTGAAAGGAAAAGATACTTATATTAAAATACCAAAAGAATCAGAGTTACAATCAATAACTCAAAATCCACTACATATCTTCTAACAAATCTCATCTAAGCTCTAAGGGTGTCATCTCCAAAAAAGCAACGTGAACCGCTGATCACCAAACAGGCAACATAAAATTCTTTCTGACTTTTGAG